ATCATCATATCCGGAAGTTTATCATAGGCCCATGGGCGCGAAAACGGGGTGCAGTACTGTACTAGAATATATCGGGGTAACGGCAAGTTCGGTATAGGAGTTATTTATGAGGAAAAATACAATAAACAAATGCGTACTGTACATGTAGGGCGATTTCGGTGATACATGTACTGTATGATCGTGGCATTGGTAGATTAGCAGGTTGCAGATCTTACTACCCAATCGGGTTCACGGAACGTTGACAGAATGCTCTACTGTATTGTGCCGTGGGCAGGGATTGTCAGTAAGGCAGCAAATGGTAAAATCCAGCAGTATTATATTTCTACAAACGACAATAGTAATATGTAGTTTAAAAATCTTCTTCAATTTATGTGCTGAGTACTTCAGTAACTTACGTCGTCTTCGAGTAGTACTAAAACTTCTACTGGTAGTAAATCAATTCGGACGATAATCATCTTAGGGCAGCGCTGTCGTTCGTTTAAAAGGTGTTGTGGAACGACATTCTTTTCTTTTGAAAAATTTGAGCGCCAAAGCCGTAGTGTAACCGAGCTGCACATCAGTCCTCATTTGATTTTGACATCGACACCAACACGTCCAAGATAAAGTGCGCAATAACCAGCTGAAGCAACCCCGAGATCAGTGCTTCGTGCTTCGGTTGACTCAGGTGCGTCGAGCAATTTTGCTCGACTGGAAGGTCTCCCGAAGCTAAACTACGAGGAGTTGAAACACCTCGAAATGTGTTGGAAGTGCGGTTGGCAGCAGTTGCCACCGTAAGAACGGAGAAGCGCGTAAAGCGCGCGCGCTTCTCGTACAAACACCGAGTGTTTGTGGAAAATATTATCGTCCTAGAGCTGGGCGAAAAGTTTGACTTAGTATTGGGCATGCCGTGACTCGCACGGCATGATACAGTGATCAGCTGGGAGAAGTATACACTTGTACACAATCGGACGCAATGCGATAAAGAGCAATGGCCCTGTCAGTGTCGCGCATGCACCGAGAGGTGCATCCGTTGAGGCAGCACCTTACGATGCAGGCTCCGGTGCCCATTTACAGTCGCAACGACTGAAGGCAGTTGCTGGGTCTGTCCCAAATCGGAAATCAGATTTGAGACACGTTCATACTTCAATGACCGGACCAACTCAGGGCGTTGATATGAGGGAACCTCAAGTCACAGCCTGGCCACGAGAGAAGATACAACCAAAAAAAGATTGTAGCACATTTATTTAAAAATAGTCAGCTCTTTCATTTTTAATGCAATTAGCTTAAAACCGCTACAAGCTCTTTTTAAATTGTTTAGAAGACTCCTAGAAAAGCGGTAGGCCGCATTCGTTGTTGCAACTTCCGAAATATGGGCCGCGTTAAACCTCTCATCCCGCAGGAAAGGCACAGGATAGTGAAGGCACATGAATATTTTACATCAGAAGAAAAAGCTGGACGATCCGGAGGCGCTGGGACCCGGGACCGTTTAGCAGCCTGTCTCGACGCTGGTGCGGCGACGGTTACTCGTGTAATAGCACATTGGAACAAGAATCCCGGAGCGAAATTTGACGAGGTTCAAAAACGGTTGCAGTTGCAGTGTATTGTACCTTTTTCTAACAGCTATATATCAAACCTTTTTTATATTGAACTTGAAGCCTCGTGAGACGAAGCGCGCCGGCCACAGCAAGTACACTTCACCGGAGCTGCGTGGAGTTATCAGAGAGTTTGCCATCGCTGAAAATGAGGCAACACGGCCAATTACTACACAACTAGCTGCTGCTCACGTGGCAAAAGTCATGAACAATTAAAAAACCATCGCAGTACGGAGTATGCGTCGGCTACTGAGAAAAATGTTTGTTGTTTTCATAGAAGGGGTAAGTATCGAAATGTTTTGGCGGAAAAGGAAAACAATGCTGCGTTTTGAGCTACATATTTGCAGAAAAAGCTTGTGAACCGAGATGAAAACAGCAACCCTGTGCGACCTGAGGTTTTTCTCGATGAATCGTAAATCAATGTATATCACGGCTCTAATAAAACGTGGCTGATCGAAGACAAAGTTCGGAAGTCAAAAAGTGGTAAAGGTGCCAGGTATTTTCCAAAACAATAGTTTTATATTTTCAAATCGTTTTTGTGATAGCTGATATCGTTTTTTTGTTTTCGTAGGATTGTCATGGCTGCTGCTGGTATAATAAGCTGTGCTACGAATACCCAAGTAGGGGCTACTACACGTTCTCAAGACGAAATACATGGATCTTTCGTCGAAAAATCAATCGAGCATTGGAACTCCGCAACAACAAAAAACACAAAAAACATTCCCGAACCTCTAGATTTTCACGGCAACTTTGACTCAGACATGTTTGAGAAGTGGCTCACTGATGTGTGCGCAACTCTCAAAAAGAACCATGGTCCTTGCAACATCCACATGGATCAGGCATTATACCATACAAGATTGACCAACCATTCGCCGAACAAGTCATGGTTGAAGGCAAACATTCAAAAATGGCTCACTGATCGAAGTAAGTTTTTTCGTTTGCTTGTTTTATTTTACAAGTCATTTTATTATTTTTGTAGAAATATTTTGGGACGAAAATAATATTATAGCTCAACTGCTCGTGAGGGTCAAGCCACACAAAGCAGACCCGATTTACGCTACACAAGTTATCGCTGCCACGTTTGACCATTTGATATACTTCACATTCCCTTACCATCCCGAGCTCCAGCCAATAGAGATGATATGGGGGATGGTGAAGAATCACATTGCCGGAAACCCTGCGTCAAGTGCAAGAGAACTTGACGCAAAAGTAGATGAAGAGTTCGCAAAGGTGACAGCTGATCACTGGACCAAATACTACCGCCATGTCCAAAAATTTGAGAGCAAATACGCCGCTGCACTGAATAGCTGCTGTCTTGTGAGTGATAGTGAAGAGGCTGATGATAACGGTGATGGCGACGCAGATGGCGACATCTACAGCAGCAGCGACAATGAAGATGCAGACGATCAAGCCGTGATCTACTCTTTTCAGTATACCCCCAATACATAATATATTGGTGCTTTGATTTGCAAGTCTGTTTTAAGCTGTTGTATCTTCTTCTGTGGCCGCTGGCAAAAAACACATCTGTTTTCAATCATGGACTAAGATAATTATGGATTATCCACAGCGCAATATAAGGCTGAATCTAGGAC